GTTTTACTAGCCTTAAATAAAAAGTTTAGATTCTTTCAAATATTTTTCGACCACAAGTAAAATATTATTTTTTTTTTTTAAGCTCAAGCCATTCTTATTCATAAACTGTACAAGTTCAAAATTAAACCTTTACGTTACTTAGCTAATTGCTCTTAACAACCAACACCAGCAGCTTCATTTATTCCTTTTATTCTGCAAAATATAGTTGTTTAAAGAATGTTATAGCCAGTAATATAATATATAAACTAGATGTTTAACTTGCGGGATTTTATTGGACGTAAAATGTAGCCGCTTTTTTTTGTTTATAAATATAGCTTTTTGTAAAAAGGGTAAAAACTAAAACCGATTTGTGGAATAAAAGTTAAAAATGCAAGCTTGGAGCATCAAAAGTTGCACATATATATATATATATATATATATATATATATATATATATATATATATATATATATATATATATATATATATATATATATATGTTATAATTAGTCAGGGACTCAAAGAAGGTATGGATGATGCGTTTATCAAGTACAATGCAGTTGCAAAATTGGCACAAGTGCGAACTGGCTTAAATGCGAATTGGCATTAGTTCGCCAAAGGAATTCGCAAACTATGTGTAAGGACAAAAAAAGTTATAAAAATTGGAATAAGTGTGACGAATAATTGCAAATATTAACACTTAAGCAAATGTTAATAAATTCTTCTTGCGCATATATGCCAGTTCACATTTATGCCGATTCGCACTAAAGCCAGTTTTTGCAACTGCTTCGCACTTATGCCAATGTTTGCAAATTCTCTCGGCGCTCATATGCCAATGTTAACAAATTCTTTTGGCGCTTTTACGCCAGTTTGCATTTATGCCGATTCGCACTAAAGCCGGTTTTTGCTAGTGATTCGTACTTATGACAGTTTGCACTTATGAAATTCGCACTTATTCAAATTGTTGTTAATTACTTGCATGTAAAAACGCCAACTTTTGCACACAAAAAAAAAAAAAAAAAAAAAAAAAAAAGAACCTTTTATCCCAAAATCTATTCGGAATTTAGGAAACGTAAATTATACAGAAAAAGTACTGTTTTTTAAATATCTTACAAGGACTACTATACGGAAGGACGCGCAAAGTCGATTTCCTGACTCCGCTAGCGAAGGCCAGTCAATATTTCTCACTTAACTCCTAAATAACTAAAATTGGCTTAAACAACGTTTCTTAAAATCAAAATTCTGAAATACGATTAAAATAATTTTACGTTATTGTTAATAACAAAATCAAAACTTAATTTAAAAAGCTTAAAAGATCGATATAAAAAACCTCTATAAAAAAACAAAGAACATATTATTGACATAATTTATTTATAATGAAATAAACATATAAACATCATATTCTCTAGAGACTTTTAAACAATGTTGAAACTTTTTTAAACAATGTTAAAACTTTTTTTTTTTTTAAACATAATGAACTTAATATAACTTCGTAAAGAAATAAACAATACAACATTTTTCAAGTAAAAAATCAAAAAAGAAAGATTCACTACTCAGCAAGGCGTGCCTTCTAAACTGATGTCTGATAAAGACATGCATTTTTTGCTTGGTCTTTATCCAAATTCTGAATTCCATGTAGAAGAACATTTGCCAAACGCCTAAAAAGACTCTTTGATGATAAACCAAAATCATAATATGTGTCTATTATAGATAGAATGTTTATAAGTCTTTTTCTACAACATGCTCTGTGCTTTGTTTTTTTCACAAAGCATAAACCAATTCTAACTAGCTGATAAGTACACTCATGTGGAATTGTCAAACAGCCCCTTGAAACTTTTTCAATAAAGTCTTTAGCTTCATTTGTTAGTACAGGTTCATCATCTGGATAAACTAGTTCATCTTCACATTTTTTTCTCAAGCCATCCTGCTACATAGGCAGCAAAGCTCTCTTCAGTTTCAGAAAGACTCACATCGTAAATGCATGTTTCAATTGAGGTTACATCTTCAATACTAATTGGACTCTCACATTTGTGACCTTTTTTATTGGGTTGTCCTACTTCCACTAATTCTAAAAATGATGCAGCAAATCTAGCTAAACGCTTTTTAAAAGCAGAGAAAACACCACCAGCTGCCATAAAAGCATTTGTCCCTGTTGATTGTCTAACAGAAAATTCTCCTTCTGTTCTATCACTTTGTAGCTCACGAAGCAAAACATAATCAAAACCAACTGAAAACAAATGTTTGCAGAGAGCTATCAATCCTTTAGTAGTTTGCACAAGGGCTTTTTTGGTATCATGGGTAACGCACTGAACTCGTTTAGGCCCTTGTCCTGATTCCATACATTTAAATATGTCTAAAAACAATTGAAGATTATTTGAATTTTTATCTTGCACAGATCGGTTGTGATCTCTTAACCTAACATCCTGCCCTTTTGCAGAAACCTTAGCAATATTCCACCAATCTAAAATCTGCTGGATAAAAGAGGATGTTTCATAAGGTCCTTTTAGTTTAAGGGAAGCTACTACTTTCTCATTAAACACTCTTGAAACATGCTGCACATTCTGTAGTTGAAGTCTCGAAGGATAAACAGCAGCATAGGATAAAGGAACTGTTTTTAAAATGTTCTCTTTCTCGTATTGATATAGACTTTTCACATCTGAAAATGAAGCTATGGCTTTATTATCGAGAGAGAGCTTTTGACACTTTTCAGAAATCCAGTTATTGCGAGTACATTTAAATAGATGAACTGTATCAAATAAAAGAAACCAAACACGCTGATTGTCTAATGGATGAATGGCCTGATAGTCAGTTATTCTGTTAAATTTTAAATTTCTGTTAAAATTTTGCAGTATTGCTGATTGATTTTATGATTATCAGTTACAAATACTAAAACTATTGCACCATGTTTTTCAACTATAATAGCAGCTTCTTTCACAACAATGAACTGATACAGTGATGTTAGTTTGTGAACAGGAGTAACAGAAATCATTAAACTAGGTCCACCATGTAAGCATTTCATCATGACACATAGCATAGAGGTTGCTTTAGGTTCTGGATCATTTCTTGCCATCCCATTTAAAACTCCACACGAATAAGCAACTGTTGGCCTAATTTTTACCTCGTCAACTATCAAAATAACATTTTTCTGTTGATTATTTTTTACGTCTTCAAATGTTTTTTGTAAAACATGGTCAATGTTAGTGGCAGAAATTATAGACTGAAGCTTTCGTTTACTTGGAAGGACTAAAAAATCACGAAGTTGATCGTAGTTGCAGTTTTAAAAAGACTCGATTGCAAAGCAATAATCAGCAATAGAGAAACTTTTTTTAGACAAGAGTTTGAGTTGTCTTGTAATAAAATTCAATTTTTTTTGTTTCTTATCATCATTTAATTTAAATTCATTTTCTGAAAGAGTATTTGTCATCTTTTCAATAACATCATTAACATGCAGATTATAATTATGAACTAAATTGATTGCTTCAAAAAATTGTGAATAGAAGATTAAGCCATTGTTTGGATTCAATATATTAGCTAATGGAACGGAAATTCCATGTTTAAAAGCTGAAAAGGTTAGCGGAGAACACAAGGTACACTTATCATAAACAATAATCGCCACAAAACTCTCTTTGAAATCTTTTGACATAAAAGTGCATATGAATTTATCGTCTTGTCGAGATATTACTATATTTTTATACTTTTTGTGCAACTCATTGTCAGGATAAAAATCAGAAAACAAATTTATTCTATCTTTTTTGATGAAATAATTCAATTGCATGTCCTCAGGTTTAGATTGGCGAGGCACAGGCTTTGGCGTTGGTAAACAAGAAAAAGGAACATTAAAAATACAAGGTGCACATGCTGGTCGAGTATAGCCACCAGGCAGCTTAATCATTTCTGTATTTTCAGGCAAATGTTTTTCACATATAAAAAATTTAGATGGCTAAATAAATTTTACGTAAAGGAAGAACATTAATCCATTTCTGTTTCTTAATTTCATCTTTCGGTAATTTAAAAATACGACACATTAAGTTTATTATAATTCCCTTTACAATTTACAACTCCACATTTGTTCACCATGATTATGGTTAAAATTAAAAAAAAAATGTTACAGGAACGTTAAAGAACACTTTAACTTTGATAAAAATAATGGCCTTCGCTTGCGGAGTCAGGAAATCGACTTTGCGCGTCCTTCCGCATAGTAGTAGTCCTTGATATCTTATAAAGTAACGCCAATTTTTGATTTTTTTTCTCTAGATCACCGTTATATTCTGCATCGAACAAATCACCGTTAAATTCTGCATCGAACAGTATGCTATTTTTCTTTTAAAGTCGGTTTTAAATTTGTTGGTTATTTTATGGTTTTAAAAAGTGTTTTACTTGCAATTAAAAATTTATATATATTTGAATTTATATAAAATGAATATATATTTTAAAATGTCATATTCTCGTTAGTCTTTTTTGCAATTTTTCTTTTTTTCAACAATCAGTTATTCTTTTGAAAATCCCACATAAATAAAAGAGGTAACAAGAGAACTAAAGCTGTTTGGAATTAAGGAAATCTACGATATACCATTATAAAATAATTATGTAAATATTGTCACTATTGCAGCTACGCGGTTTAGAAACTTTTTAAATATTGGATATAGTATATTTAAATCATTAACAATATTTTATAAAAATGTTATTATACGTCTTTTAATATTATAAAACATATCTCTATCAAAATGTAACAACGCAAAATGTCTCTTTAAATCCTACCAGTATGAATTTATTGTATAGATTTTTTTATCAAGAACTTTTTGGGTTTCTATAACATCGGGACCTGTGGCAAAATTGTTCGGTTACCCCAGTCGGTCCGGTCTTAGATCAATCTATAAAAATAACTTTTATGGTATTTTGAAATACGTGTAAGTAACCCTACCCCTTCCCCCCTCCATTTATGCAAGAAGTTCAAAAAAAAAAAGTATTTATTTTTTAAAAATACATGTTAAAAGGAATTGAAAGAAAAAAAGCAACAAAAATTATTACTGATTTTTTTTTTTGATTTTAGTATCTCATCCCTACCGAAAAAGGTATTTTCGACTATAATACAAAATAATTTAATCACAAAATCTTTGTTTTATATTTCATATAAATATGTTACAGAAAGGTTCATGTAACAAAAATTTTAAACATGTTATCATGGCAATTCAAAAAGAATTAAAAAACCATGAAAAAAACTACAAAAAAAATCCATTGAGAAAAAGACAATAAAAAGAATACTTTAATAACTTTAAATAAACCACAATAAATAATTTTTAAAAACAATTACAAAACAACTGAAAAACATTTCAAATAATAAAGGAGAAAATCAGAAAACAGAACTACGCATGCGCAATTCAATAAAAAACTTTTCCCGCACAATTCAAGAAAGAAACCCATACTTAGACCGGAAAAGAACTTAAGTATTAATACTTTTTCTTGAACGATATTATTGCACATGTCATATATAGAATGTCGTTTGAAACTCAAAGCCTTTTAGAATTCAAAATACATGTTTACACTAGCAAGGACACCCACGTCCTTCCTGGTTGTTCTGATCTTGAGGATTATCTTTTAGTGTAACCTCTATTAAATCTTCTTTTTTATCTGGTGTGTTCTCCATGCCTGGCAAAGCTGACGCGACTTTTCGAAACAGCTTAATAGAAAATTGATTTTAATTAAAAATTATTTTTTATCAAAAACCATATTTTAAAAAACCAATGAAAGCTTTAATTATTTTAAGCTGAACAATATGAAATATTTTTAATTAGTCACGTGATCAAAATCACAATCTTTTCGAAATTAGACGGCAATTATAAATCTTGTCGTGTAATGTTTTTCTCGGCAGGGCAAAGTTGTAAACAATACATTTTGAGAATACTTATCTGATTTTTTATTATTTATGTTTATTTGAAAATACGTCGTCTTTTAAACATGTCACTTAAAAATTACGAATCTTTTTAAAGTTTACTTGTCAAGCAGCTTGTTAGGTTTTTAGCTGTTTGTAGGTTGAGTACAACTGGACGTAAAGCAAGCTTGTTGCTAGAGCATTTACTGCAATGGAATTAAATATAAATGTTATTGAGACAGTAGAGGAACAGGAAAAAAAAACTTAAATAATCATATACAGAGAAACTAAAAGCTTAAGATCTAATTGACCCAATTTATGGAAAACAGGAAAGGATTAGCTGAGTGAAAAATATTTCCTATAATAGACTATTAGCCTACTCTATTTTAGGAAATATTTTTTCGCATATCTTAAAAAAAAAACAACTTTTATTTGGGATATATTGGCGAGTATAAAAACTGAAAAATTTTTAACTTTTTGATAGTGGTTTTGTAAGCCCTATTTGCATTTTAGTTTTTAAAAAGATTTTTTTTTGTACATTCTGAAATTTGTGGTTTGCAAAAAATCAAGGAAAAAATAAAACTTTGGATTGCCTTTAGTAAGAACGACATTTGACTTTCTGCTTGGTGTTCACACATGGCTGGAGCTTTCGAAGTTTGCAAGCATATCATTGCCACTTTTTATAAAATAGAATATGCTAACAACAAAGGTTGGTGTAATCCAGCATGTACTGAACATGCGTGTGTCTGGAATAAATCCTCTCAAAAAGATATCAAACCATGTTTAATAACCGACCTAATTGTTAGAAAAAGAAGCACAAATGATAAAGCAATTGATATTAATAATAAGGAAAAAGCACTGATGAAAGAATAACAAGAATTTGATCCAAGAACTAAAAGTCATGGTTCAATAATTTTAACTAGATTTTAATAAACATTCATTTGAAACTTTTTAAACGACATTTATATATTCGAGCCTTCTGCTATAATATTCAAATCAAAAGTCAAATCAAATCAAAAACATTTAATGAAAATGTTGAAAGTATTCCTGATCTTGAGGAGTTATCTTTTAAAACTTTCTAACCATCCTAATGCAGATAAGACAACTTCAGGAAAAATTTTTTAAGAAAAAATGGTATTGACAGAGAAATAATTAAAAATATAGAATATAACACAAGAGATCAAACAATACCTGGTTTCAAATGAGAAAGGAAAGGATAACTGCATCCAAACATCACAATATACCAAAGTTAACAGTCTTTTTAGAAATACCAGATCTAAAAGGTCTAAAACATTTTGCTGTTGATATAAATATTAATGATGATTATTAATAATAATTATTAATAACCGAAATTAATTCCTAAATGGCAAACTAAATCACAAATTGGAATTCACCATATTTTAATGTTCGGACACTTATAGACTTATATATTGAAGTAGTCAAATTTGATAAAGAGCTCTGGGATGAAAACAAATTTATTTTTTCCAAAATGTGTTTCTCTAACATTATTATTATTAGAACCAATAAGATTCTGCAAAAAATGTGATAAATTAATACTTAAAGAGCCAGAAACCAGCGCTAATGAATTTAACCCATGTAGTAGTTTTTAGTGTAAAAAAAGTTTAGTTCCACTGTTCTGGTCAAAATTTAAGAAAAGAGGATTATAATTATTGGCAGATTGAGACTGGATTTGTTACATGGGCTCCATGTCTACTTTGTGTTTTAATTTTTAATAATATGTCTTTATATGTGCTACATTATTTATAAGAAATCAATTATGACGTTTAATTATTTCTTATCAGCCATTACATTTAATTCCTTTTTTTAAAACATAAAAAATATTATTTGAAACTTTTAGATTAATAAAACATTTTTTTTTTGCTGACAAAAAGTTGTATTTATTGTATTTAATTTTATTAGTTGTATTTAAAACCATTGGTTATTTTTTTCTGTATTTTTAAAAGATTTTACAATATATTTGAAAAAAAAACTTCTTTCTTAAATTTCTTTACCTATCCTCCAGTCCCTAATTGATATAACAGGTGACAACTAAAAAACGAGACTGGATTTAAAGACACATATCTCCTTAAAGGAATAAGATTTTAAAAATAGGAAAACTGTTTTAGAAGGTATTTTTATTCTAGTTTTTAAATATTTTAAGTGTTTTTATTTTTTATACAAAAAATGAATAAAAAAATAAATTCAAAACAGGAGATTAGAAAACGTGTGTATGAATTTTATTTAAATTACAAAAATGCTGGTAAAAAGTTCACTTATGATCACTTTAAAGTTTAGAATATACCTCAAAGTACTATCTACAAGATAATTAAACATGCTGAAAGTGAATCTGGCTGCCAAAGAGTTTAGAGAATTGGAGTAAAAGCTAAAAAAATGACCAGGATAAACATTGAAAGGCTTAAATTCATGTTTGACCATAAAGACAGAGTTTCTCAACGACAGACAGCTAAAAAGTTCAACTGTACTCAGCAACACATTAGTAAAACATTAAAAAAAAGTACAAATATTAAATCAAGAAAAAAAATGACGATTCCAAAATGCTCTGACCAGCAAAAAGCAGTAGCTAGAACTAAGATTGTGTCAGAAATTCAAAAATCGTAAACCAATCATTTACGATGAATCTTATTTCACGTTAAATCATTCCACTATCAATGGAAATCATATATTTTATTTGATGTAAAATCTACTCCATCTACAGTTTAATACCAAACAAAACAAAAGCTTCTTAACCTTATTTTGTACCAAGTGGACTGGCTGTAAATTAAAAAATCTATTTAAACAAATGTATTAAGAGGAGACTAATTCCATTCATCAATAAGTACCATTCAGATGGTGCATATGTATTCTGGCATCATGTCACTATGCAAACATGTATTCTTTAGCATCATGTCACTATGCAAAAACAGTAATCATGTACCTAAACAAGGAAAACGTGCATTATGTTGAAAAAGCAGATAACCCTGCAAACTTGCCAGAATGTCGCCATATCGAAAATTGAAGTATTTTGAAAGACCTTGCCTACAAGAATAATTGGCATGCAGAAAATCTTAAAAAAATACATTCTAGAATCAAGTATTGTCTTAATAAAATTGATATTGAGCTCATACGGAAACTAGCTCAGTCTATACCAGGCCTAGTTGATAAAGTCAGAAGAAATGGTTTAATTGAGAACAACTGATTATATATTTAAAAACTAGAATAAAAATACTTTCTAGAACATTTTTCTTTTTTTTTTAATCTTATTTCTTTAAAGAGATATGTGTCTTTAAATTCAGTCTCGTATTTTAGTTGTCACCCATTAAATTCATTTTTAATAATAATTACGTAAAGTTTAAACAGTAAGTAAATAGTACTTAAAATAGAAAACAAATTTCTTATGTAGGGGAACGTTTAATTCTAATTAATTATAAAAACGTTACACTATATGATAAAAGAAAAGCTTTTTAATTTATAAATATTTAAAATGTTTAGAAAACAAAAATTTTTTTTAAAAACTATTTAGAAAATAGTGCACTTCTTAAGCAGCAAATGCCATATCAAATTTAATTATATTATTCATGATTGATGGGTGTAATAATGGATGTGTTGTTTTTAAAATACGGAAGTGTTGTCAAAATATAACAAATGAGTTTTTTTTGTTAGATAATAGACTTTCATTTAATTAAAAAAAAAATAAAAATTTTCTAGCCATGTGATCAAAAATATTCCATGTTAAATAAACAAAAATATATAATTTATTAGGGGCTTTTCATTACATGAGTGAAAATCAGCCCAGGCTAAGATTCAGCCCACTCACACGGGCTGAATTTTTGGCCCACCTGGATATTTTAAATCTTACAAATAAATATCCTAGCTTGTTTTATGAAACCAAGGATTTTCGGCCCTGGTAAATTTCATTATTGTAAAATTAAAAATGGCTTCTTTAAAATTTATTAGCAAAACAAATAAAAAGGAATGCACAGGTTTGATTTCGTTGGGATAAAAATGACAAAATTTCAAACTTAATACAGAGTTAGTCAAATTTTAAATCTCAAATGGAATATAATAACAAGGATTTCAATGATGTTAAACCAAACCAGAATGAAAGCATTGGGAAAGCTTTAGCTAACATTAACATACACCAACCAAGTTGGTTTGGGCCTGTTACTCCAAATGAAAATGTGTTATCCAAACAAAATAAAATTGATAACTCTAATTAAAAGAGGTTATACCAGAATTCAAGAAAAAATCAAAAAAATTTCGTAAAATAGTACTTGAAAAACGGGTAAAATAGTACTTGAATTTTATGATCATCTTGTTCAAACATGGGGTGGATCTCCTTCTATAGAACCATTATCTTTTGGAAAATAATGTTAATAAAAAAATGTTTGATAATAACAAAAATATAGAAGATGTATCAATTGCTTCAGTTAGCAATGAAGGCAACATAGTTGATAATACAGATGATGTAAATATATGTTTTAGTTTATGTAGTGTTGAAGACAATAATGTTGTTGATTTCCATTTATTATTACCCCAGATAATGTATCTGTTAAAAATGATTTTTTAACTAAAAAAAAGAAACGTAAAAATGACAACAATTAAATTATTCCAAAATTTATTGACAGTAAACGGCGACATGTGCAGAGACAATTAAGTGCGTCACAAAGTGATCAAATTGCAGAAGCTATAAGACATTCAAATGAAACATTCTCAGCATCAATGGAGCGCATGTCAGAATCTATTTTACAGTTTATCCAGGGACTTTCTAAATCAATGGAATTACTAATGCAAGGAATAAAAACAAATGA